CTGTCCCGTGCTCCTCTAGGATTCCTCGGGTCACTGTGCACAGCCCTGTTTGTATCTTATGCCATACAAGGAAAGCCACTTGTGCAGTGGGGGAGAGAAATGATGAAGGTGGTTCCACTGGCTGAAGAATATTGTAAAAAGACCATTCGGCATATGGCAGGTGAGCCTGGCTTCCTTTTCTATCACATCCTCAAATCACTGGCACCTAGAAAGAGACTAATCTTAATTCACACTCAAAGCAGATTTGGAAAAACTAAACTCCTACGGCCCACCTCCCAAATATTCAAGGTATGTTTGCCCCCAGGTGAAACCAAGAGAATTCCCTTTGGGTCAGTATGAGCAGTATTGACTCCACAAAGAACATCTAAGATTATTATGTGACCAGAAGGCATGCATCTCACTGAGGATAGCACCGGTGTGTGCAAGGAAATCCAAAGCAAGCCAGATTCTTCATTGCCAGAACCACTGAGAGCTGGCTGGCTTTAAGACTTTAGTCTCTTCAGAGACTCTTCCACCTGTCACCTCTATTTCTGACAGTAGCTAAAAAGAGGAGTTGGAGTGGATGCTTAAGTTTAATTTCCCAAATTAGATTCACAAAGTGAAGTAACCTGCTTCTTAAGGGAGGAATGAGGGGGCAATCAAGCCTAACATTCCACATTGTCCCTGGGACCTAATCTATGTATGGGCCCTGACCTAGGATATTTTCAAGCCTCAATGCCATGAAGCCAAGACAGAGATCTGTGCCTACTAATGATATTTGCTCCCAGGAATTTCCATCTGTTCCAAGGAACATCCAAAACCTGTGTAATCAAACGTTTCCCGTCCTTTCTGGCTCCCAGCCCTTTTTGGAAAGAAGTAGGTATGAATCAGTCTGTCAAAGGTCCTAAGGGGAATCACGTTTCTAACAGTTGAGGCAGGAAGCTCATTTGGGACCCCTTGTGTTTTTTTCCTGCGTGGTCCTTTCTAAATAAATTCCCTGAGGTAGAAGAGACACTGGAACATCTGGTGCGGGATTAGGGAATCCACGACTTTCTCCTTAGATGGCTACATCTTCCGGAGAATTCTTTCACTCTTCAAAAGGCGCCACCAGTTCTAACAGGGACATGTGCCACCTGAGTAATTCAGGCAGCTTCCTGCTGCTTT